GTAATACAGGGATGATGATTAATTTAAAATGTAATTTATTGTCAGTCAGCTAATTAAAAGGAAATACTTTAGTTGCTGACTATGGCTTGGCCCCTAAAATGTAACTAGCTCTTGGAATAATTCCAGGAGGTTTCATTTCTGTTTAAAATTGCAAATTATTTCTATCCTATGTCAGCTTTTGAAATAATATTTTTGAAAGGTTGTGCCTGCACTGAACTTTTGTCTTTATTCAAGCATGCTAGGTAAGAGATGCAATGCTGGATTTACAGGAAATCATATGGGTGCCTGAATGTGGCTCCTGCCCACCCCCTCTATTTTTTGCTTCCATTATTTAAATATAAGAAAATTCAAAATCAGTTCAAGAGATTTATGTTTTATCTAAGACCCGTAGCATATTTAGTCCCTACCTTCCAATACATTTTGCTGGGGTACAGGTTCATACATTGTAAAATTTGTTTGCTTAACATAACAGAGAATGCTGCACTGTTCCTTTCTATCTTGATAATTCTCTTGCCTCATTGGTCTGTCTGCAGGCTTTGGAGAAAAGTTTTGAATCCTACATTGCTCTTACAGAAACATTTGCTTTTATCAGTCTGAGAGATGACATTGAAGTATAGATGATAAAACAGCTATCCACTATTTGTGGAAAACAAATCTTTTAGGCCTGGATATTCTGCAGAGTTTCATGCATATTCATGTAGGGTTTCATGGATATTCTGCAGTTTTGCTAAAACTGTATAAATTTTCCAGTTTTGATATAAAAATTGAAAACCACCAACATTTTTAGGTACACAACTGACAGAACATTCAAGATTACCAAAATTGAAAGACTGTCCAAATTGTTGGTGATAAGAAACATCACTAGTAGAATTTTTACAATTCGAAAAGGCTTGCTGGAAAATCAATCAGTTTTTTTCTGTTTTGCCATTCTGGGATACGTGGTGCATGCATTCTAAACTAAGTAAGTTAAGTGAGAGCTCTCAGGACTGACAACAGGAGAAATGGCCAACGGTTTTCTATTCTGATGTACGGAGACGTGGACCAGTCAACTATGTATGGTACATAATGTTTTTTGTAGGCTTTGAAATAGTTCACTGCTGTTGGCAGATTGCATTTAAGGAACCTGAGTGTTGCCATAACTGAACAGAATAATTGTCTGCCTACTTTGGTAACCTGCCTCCAGAAGTGGACTGTGCCTGAGGGTTATGGGGAAGGCAAAAACACTTCAGTGAGGGGGGAAATAGATCCATTCATAAAACCCTTCATCATCCGCACTGAACTAACTTCCCAGCAGAGTGTAGAGCTTTGTATTACACTTGCCTATATATGTCTTTGGAATTCCTTTTTAAATCACATTAAATTGCTGTAACAACAAATTTCACATATTTGTTACATGCTGCATAAAGTTTTATCACCTCTTGTATCCTGGAGAGTGGATGCTGAAGGCCAACCTGTCTGTTATCTAAACCCTTTAGCATTTTGCTCGTTTGTATCAAGTCGTTTCTCTCTTCCTCTCTGGAAGATAAATAGTCGAAGTGTGATGAGGCTTCAGAATTGCCTGGTAATTTGATGCATCTTCCATCTGGGATGACTGTTGAGATGCTTTTTGAACATACCAATACACAAGTTGCACTAAGGGCCCTTTTATTAACTCCGATAACTCATTCTCTGAAAATTTAAGACATTTCCAGTTGGATACCCAAAATTACTCTTCACTTCTGAAAATCTTAGCCACGTTTATAACAGTATTACAGACTGACACTATTCACTGAGTGATGTGAATGGTTTTCATTTGGAAATATGGCAAGTCATGCCATACGACATTGTGCTGTATAAACCCATCAGCTCCCGCATCCTGATCAAGGCTGAGCTACATCATTTTTTGAATTGGTGAATCTCTGAGGAATCCCCATATACTGCAGGAAGTGATTTTGCTGGCTTAGAAGGTGGCATTCCTCATTTAGAGTAACGAGCCAATGGCCCAATGTGACGATGGGTAGAACTGATCAACATTTTTTATTCAAAACTTTTTCAAATGAAAAACTGGCTTTTTCATATTTTTTTTCCTATGGGAGGAAAAAAATCCCCTTCCTTATACTCTTTTCCTTTCCTTTTCTTTCCCTTTACATAGATTCATAGATTCTAGGACTGGAAGGGACCTTGAGAGGTCATCGAGTCCAGTCCCCTGCCCGCATGGCAGGACCAAATACTGTCTAGACCATCCCTGATAGACATTTATCTAACCTACTCTTAAATATCTCCAGAGATGGAGATTCCACAACCTCCCTAGGCAATTTATTCCAGTGTTTAACCACCCTGACAGTTAGGAACTTTTTCCTAATGT